GTAAGGCCACTTACCTGGTTGGCCTTAGCCGAAGATTCCCTAATTTAATTAACGTAAGCTCCCGTTCCTCAAGAGCTGCTCCAAAGGTTGCTAGAGTTCGCTTCATATCGAACCGTTCGTCACCTTTCGTTAGTATTCACATTTTAATTAATAATCCAACTAACAATGTGAAATACAGCTCTAAACCGGTCTCAGTAAAAATCAAATTCCACGTTTTCATTGTTTCTAAATTTTGGTTGGATAGTAAAACTTAAATTGAAAATATGTTAATATTATTTCATGCTGATTCAATCCTTCAATACAAATATGATTTGTTATAATATTATATTAATAATTTCTCACATCTTCCATTTTCTTCTCTCTATTGTACCACGTTATTTCTATTCTCTCTGTCTCCTTTTTCTTTCATATAAATGACTATGCAATTATAAAATAATATTCAATCAATTCTTTTTCTTCTCCCACATTATGACTATCAATTAACAGAAGCCATTTTCAATCTTTTTTTTTCTTCCCTTACCTAAAAACTATTATCATTAATAGAAGACATTTTGAATATATTCTGTTTTCTTCTCTTTCCTTTTTCAATCTATTATGTTTTCTCCTCTTTCCTAAAACTACTATCGATAACAATTTTCAATCTAGTCTGTTTTCTTCTCTTTCCTAAAAATGATGATTACATTTAGATGCAATTGACAAAGCCATTTTCAATCCATTTTGATTTTCTATCAGATATCAAAAAATCTAAATAATTGAAAAAGAAACCATTTTCAATCTAGTCTATTTTCTTCTCTTTCCTAAAAATGATGATTACATTTAGATGCAATTGACAAAGCCATTTTCAATCAATTTTGATTTTCTATCAGATATCCAAAAATCTAAATAATTGAAAAAGAGATCTAAGATAACTTTTCAATTTTGATTTTCAATTCAATATCCAAAAATCTAAATAATTGAAAAACAGATCTAAGATAACTTTTCTATCTCTGTCAAAAGATAAAAGAAAAGGAGATCTAACTTACCGATAACTTTTCTATCTCTCTCCATACCTATTAGATCTGCTTGAAGTGAAGCCGTCTCCATTTCTTCTCTCCCAAAATCTGTCCTCCTTCCTTTTCCTCAGATTTTTCTCTTCCCAAAATCTGCCATTTTTTTTTTTCCGTTTGGTTTTTTTTTCCATCATTTTGTACTTGGAGGGGTTGGGGAGATATTTGGGGAAGGTGGAGAGAGAGAGTCCATAATTTACTTTTTTTTTTATTATTATTATTATTATTTACTTATTATTATTATTATCTTTTTTTTTTCGGGTTGTTACATCCACGGATCCGGGTCAACCCGAACCCAAAACCTGAGAGTGTGAGCCCATTCTTTCCCTCAACCTCTGCCTTCGGCCCAGCCCAACTACAGCGGCCCAAACCTCAGACCAGCCCAGAAGCTACAGTTCAGTTGAACCAACCCGAGACCAAACCCATGGTCCAATCTGTTGGATCGGTATGGCAACCCTAGAGGGGGGTGAATAGGGTTTTAACGATAAAAGTGTTTAAACGTGATTAATTTTTTTTAATGATGAAACTTTTTACACATAAGTAGAAGATGCTAATTACTAGAACAAAATAATTCAAGTAAAAACAATAATCAAGTAGAACATGCAATAAATCACAATAATAATTTTGAAATTAAATAGGAAAGAGTTAGAGAAAATGACACACTAATTTTATAGTGGTTCGGTCAAACTTGACCTACTCCACTCCCCAAGCGCCTCTTGGGAATTTGAATAAAGAACTTTCTCGACTCTTTCCACGGATTAGAGCCAAACCGCTACACCGCTCTTTTTACGAGTTCAAGAGCAAACTCAATCCTTTCCACGACGCAGGATCAAACCGATACAAGTATTTGAGTTTGATAATAACACACCACAACTTTCTCAAAGAGTAGATTTACAATTTGGGATACTCACAACTATTTCCTCACAATACAATAATAATCCCTCCCAAGAATAAGAAGAAGAGAAATAAACTTGTAAGCTTGGAGAGAGCAACAAACAATGGAGACTTTGAACAAATGAGGATTGGAGAATGTATGTAAGTTGTGTATTTTAAAATGTGGGGAAGATGAGTTTATATAGAGGAGAAAAGTGGCAAAATGTAGATTGAATATTGACCATTAAATTGTGTTAGGAATAATGGAAGGAGGAGATTAAAAGTAAATAAATAAGAAAATTTTCCAAATTCATTTATTTCAAATTTTTAATATAATAATAATAAAAAGTTATGTGAGTAACGGTCAAATGAAAATTCAAAATTTATTATAAATATAATAATATCATAATAATAAAAATTATGTGAGTAACTACCAAAATTTTAAAATATAATAATATAATAATGTAATATAGTAATAATAAAAATCGATGTGAGTAACGGTTAGATTCAAATTTATATCTTGTAAAAATAATTTTATTTAGAAATATAATAATAAGAAAAACTTCACCATTTGTTACTGTTTCAACATTATAAATGTCATACTTTGATATATTTTGATTTGTCCATCATTTTGATTTTGCTGCCACATCATCACGTCGGGTATGTTGTCTCGACTCTAATTTCTTCGCTTTAGCTCTGATTTGAGTAATTGAAAAGTCGTTGTAATCGTTATTCCCGACCTTATACTGTGGATAGTTCAAAATACTGAAAATAATTAATAATTAATAGTAGGTTTGTTATCATCAAAACATCAATCCATTAATTGATTGAAATTAATTAAAGTGAGATCAAGGGCCAAAAAGCCAACACAATCGAGCCGGCCTGCAACCCAAAAAAATTTCGGCCCAGCCCAATAAGTCGAGGCCCAACGATAGTCTTGGCCAAGTAGCCTCCGCAGCTCGCGCCCGGACCACGACCCGAACCGGACTGCGACTCGCGCTTCGACCCGACGCTACCGCACGACGTGGCTCGCTCTGTTGCTGCCACGTGTCACATAGCAGCGCAGGCGGTCCCTCGGCTCGGCTCCCTCCAGCGACACTCCGGCAGCTCCCAGCGGCTGTTCGGCTCGGCTCACCTGTTTTCAGCCCGATTTCCACTGTTTCGACCCTCCCGGATCTGTTTTCAACCCCGATTAAGGTATCCGAGGCCGTTTTAGAGCCGTATTCACATTTATTGTATTATAGGGAAATTAATTGTGAAATACTAATGGAAAGTGGTGAACGGTGTGATAGGAAACAAACCCCGGCAACGTAGGAAGCAGCTCTCACGGAACGGGAGCTTACGTTTCTATTTAGGGAGTACTTCGGCCAAGGTCAACCAAGTAAGTGGCCTTACTATAGGATAGGCTAAAAAAATTATATGAGTTATGATGATGTGTGGATTACGATGCTTAATGATATGTGTAGTAAATACATATTTTGATGAATGATGCACTTGATATGTTTGACACACTTTGTGGCAATATGATGAGTATGATGATTGCATGATATTTACCTTAATATGATGATGGTTTCCATATTGAGCATGCTAGATGATGATGAGTGCCATATTGCATCATGTCGTTAGATCGACATAGGACACAACCCTAAGAGCATGAAAATGATATTAATATAAATATCCACGAGCATGTATTACCTAGAGTAACAAAGAGATGAGACTAGAGGGTTGTGTCATAAGAGACATTACGATGGATTTAGAGGGACCTCATGCATATTGTATGTTCATAAGCATAGGGCTACTTCCCCTAGAGATGATGAGTGCGGACGCGCACCTTATGATGAGTGCGAATGCACGCAGGTACAAAAGCACACAGATGAGGGTGTTCATGAGGCGCATGACACTATGGGGTTCCGCTGACCTCCGGACGTCGCTACAGATTAGCTTGACCAGAGGGTCCAAGGGGTGTGCGAGCGCCCTGGAGATTCACACTCGCACGTGTGAGTCGTGTGTAGGGAAGTACTACACATCCAATTTGTCGGAGACTGGAGGCCACCCCTAAGATGATTAGAGATAGGTCCCTAATTCATGATTGCATGTGTTTGCATTAGCATGGCCCCTATAGTGGGGTCACTTACTGAGTATTTCTTCGAAATACTCAGGCCGTGTGCCATATTGTTTTTCAGGTAAAGGCAACGCTCCCATGTACGGTTGACGGTAGCATCGTGATCAGAGACTGTGGCGCGTGCATAGGATAGTTGCATATTTAAAATTCCTAGTCTTGGTTAGGATAGGGCATTTGCATTTCACTCAATTATATTATTTAATTTGTAATCGTTTTTTTTTTTTAATCTTTTTGAACTCCAGCATGATGTTTGAAACACGTAAGTCCGGCAGTGTTTTCCAATGTTTGAACGTTTTCCAATGTTAATGGCGACTCTAGATATGTGGAAATTTAGGGTCGTTACACTGCTCAACTCTAGCAGGCTACCTACAGTTACCGTGGTGACCTATTATTCTTTCTTGGGTGGAACTTGGTGGCTTAGACTTGGATTCATGTATCTCTAGGATTCTCGTGCCAGGTCTCATAAACCTATCGGGTTTGAAATTCTGGGCTCTGGATCCGCCGGTAATCATTTCGTGGGTCTAATTGCACGGTATTCTAGAGGTCCCCAACCTAGGGTCTCATCTAATCTACTTAGTCACAAGCACCCTAATCTAAGCTCATAATTTCTTCCTATTCATCAAAAAAGATAACACAAGCAATCATCATGCATAAGAGTTAACACGCAGCAGTTCATGCAATATTAACAAACATGCTCAACGGGAAGATAACGTCCATCTTTACCCAGAGCGCAGACTTCACAAGTTTCTCATTCTCCTCATGCATACATACTTTATCAGAATCTCAATCAAATAGATTTAATATACATTTCATATCTAGCTTTCCTTAATCATTTCATTTTCACAGTTTCTATACTAATATACTAGGTCCGGCTAGCTAAGTTAATGGGTGGTAGCATGCATGCTTGTTCCTAGCGGTTCCTACAAGTACTTCTCGTGGGAATCCAAATGGCTACTTACATGGTTGACGCATGCCTTCCCGAGTTCGAGTTTTCTTGACGGAATGGATTCCAACAATTCTGGAATTTCCTTGACAGATCCTAATTTACATAATAATAGGGTCAGCATCAAAATCGGGTCGGAAAACAAGCAAACAGAGACCGAACGGAAAGAAAAAAAGTGGCTCACGCGCGTCACATGCGCCCTGGAGGGTTTCTATGCGCAATTCCTACGCGTGCGTGCCCACGTACGGCTTCCCGAATAGACGCGGGTCAGGGGCGCCAGGTCGAGCGGTTTGCGTGTGGCACGGGTCGGGCCTGGCGGATTCGCGTGACGCGTGTCCGTTGCCGGGTGAGGAGCGCCTCACAAGCCCATGATCGACACGTGTCGATCACCAGTTTCACCGTGCTCCTCCACACGCCGACCGACGTGTGGCGGCGTCTTCACCCTCTCTCCTGCATTTTTTTCATTTTCCAGGCCTCTTTCACGTTTCGATCTATTTTCTTCCAATTTTTTTTATCTTCCAATCCGTAATCCGATTCAACAAATTTTCTTCACGAACCTTGTAGATCTCATATTCTACTCCTTCGAAACAGTTTTCTTATATTTTTCTGATAATCAATGATCTTAATATTTGAGTTCGAATTCGGAGAAAAATACGAGTTCTTACCGAAAATCACGGTTTCTTGAAACTCCGATTTGAACACCAAACTTGGCCGCCTTCATTCCAAAACTTAACCAGATAACGTTGTTGAGGGTAAGAGTCCAATGATCAACACAAAACGTCACTATCACACAAAAATCTTGATGACTTCTCGATCTAGACACTCGTTGACTAACATGAAGTTCTTGAACGTTTGACGGAATAGGAAGGTGCGATTTGTGAGAGCACCTTGCCTCAGACTGTTGATGGTTTAGATTGGAGACTCGGATCTCCGGCGTCGGTTCTGATCCGATCTCCTCCTCCTTCCTCAAAAACCCTAATCTTCTTTCCCTCTTCTTTCTTCTCTTTCTCTCCCCTCTTCTTTCTCTTTTCTCTTTTCCAAAATGACTAATTTGCCCCTATTGTGACCTTTTTTTTTTCTTTCTTTTTTCAAAAACTCGAGCACTACAATACCCTAGCTAAATCTCATGCTATATATCAAAATAAACTCCCAACGCAATCTTTCTTTGACGGTTAGGAACCATATTGGCCTCAGATGGTAAAACTAAGGGTAGGAACGGCTTCAGAAGGGCCGAAAACCTAGGATCGATAAATTATAGCGATACCGAGCCGATAAGTCGAGCCACCGAGTCGACCAACTAAGCCATCAAGCCGAGTCACGGGAATTGACGGAGCCGAGCCGACATACACGCCAAGCTGAGTTCCGCCGGTCACGCAGCGTCTTCGACACAAGCATGGCGATCCCGACGTCTATATCTTACTTCCACTCGAATCCTTTTTTCGAAATATCAACCCTAATGTTTCGAGAGAAAACATCTTGGGATGTAAAAGGTTGGGCATTAGAATATAAAGATAATCTCAAGACATTTTCCAATAAGGCATTCTAGGGTTTTAGGATAAGAAAACTAAGAGAAATAGGGATGTTTCTATTAGGCAATAAATGTCTGGCAGGAATCTCTCGATTTTCGGGAGATTAAATGAGAACATTTAATTATTTATTTTGTTTTTATTTGATTTTATTTTATTCCAGAACCTCGAATCGTTATAGTTTCAATATATTAAAATTAATTAATATATTATTAGATCACGTTTACAATTATTCTACCCTTCTTTTTCAACCCTATAATCATAAATATGGCTAAAAAAAAGTAATGAAAGAAGTATTTTCCGGATATTGGATAAGAGAGAAGAACCTGAAATAAAGAAAAAGTAGGTGAATTTTATTTGATATGTCTAATGTTGCAGATATTTGAGATTTTTGTGTCCATGCACGCTAGTCTTACAACACATGAACTTATAGCATGTAGATGTTAAATATGCATTTCCTATATATGTGATGATTGGTAGATCAAATGTCGCGGACATGTGATGATTGGTCACTTGACATGTTGATTGGTCACTTGACATGTTTTACACATTTGTAAGTGTCAATAATGAAATCAATCTAAAAAATTTATTAAAATCAGTTAATTTATTTGTGTACACACACAACTAGAACATAAGTACTCACAAATAGAACATAGGTCCTACTGAAGTTTGAACTCAGGTTACTTGATTTAGAGTCCAATGTCCTAACCTCTAAACTATAGGACCACAAATATTTATAAAATTTGTGTGCAAGAAATCTTTGAACTTTAAATGATAAATAATATCTTCATATACTTTCAATTCAAAATTGTGAAAGTGACTGATCTGTTCTCGCTTTTTTAGTTTTGTATTTGATAGGGTTTCAACACACTCAAATCAATTAATTTATTAGATCACATGTACCATTATTCTTCCATTCTTTTTAAACTCTATGATCTTAAAAATGGTTAAAAAAAAGTTTTGCAGCAAGAATCATTCCTAGATCTTTTACTTTCATTTTAGAGAACTTTTCTATTTTAGTCAAATTTGTGGACTAGGGCGGCATTCAAGAATTGAACTTAATCCCTTGTTTTAAAATATATTCTTGCCATAAAATCCCTTGCTTTAAAATATATTCTTGCCATTATTATTTATCACATTCTTCTTTTATCCTTTCCATTTGACGCACGCGCTCTTTTTATTGTCTATTCTCCAATGTAAGTTAAAAATTAAGAATTTCACTCCAGTAAATAAAATATAGATTATCAAGTCATAGATATGATATCTATAAATCATTATCATATTTTGTACTACTACATACCTTATTCATGTAACAAGTCATCCTCATAAGCTCAAGTCCATCGTGTCATTATATTTATCGTAATTCTTGATTTTATGAAATCTTCATGAATTCTTTTAAGTTTGTCTTTGAGGGTATCTTTTGTGTTTTGCTGCTTAAGTCTTGGATCATACCCCCACTATGTTCTTATCGTTGTGATATCATACACGAGTTTCTTATAGCCTTTCAAGTCTTTATTTTCTTGAGTCTCGGTAGCCTGAGGATTGGTGTTGTGCTATTTTCTTAATACTTATCTTAGGGTTGTTTTCTTAGTCTCATCCGAAGATTATTCTTAGAGCATAACAACTCATAAGTCCTCATAAGTCAAGTATACGTCTTGATAAGAATCATAACATGTTTCTTGAGGTACTTAGGTATACTATGGATCTTTACTAGGGGCCTTTAAGGGTAGTTTAGTATTTTCAAAGTATTGGCTTATAGCCTATCTTATAAGTGTTTGTAACACTTCGGTGTTCCTCAAGGCTTTGGGTCTTCAGAACACCTTAGAATCCTTATAAGAGTATTTTGGTCCTTTATTTCTTCATTTCTTGCTTTGAGCTCTTAACATACTTCAAAATCCTCGTATTATTGAGTAACTCTTTATGTTCTTATATGTAGGTCTCACTTAAAATCTCATGTCATTTGGAGGCTGCTTATATCTTGAAATAAATTGTGATTGCTTTAGAGGTAGTTCGGTAACTTTACCTTAAAATCTTAGTTTTGCTCCTATACATGCTACAAAGACTTTGAAAACTTTCCTAACTTGTATAATTGAAATAGCTCATATACATGGTCAATAAATCATTGTTTAGGCACTTACAGACATTTTTGTCATTTTACCATTTATTCTTGATTAAGCCTGTATATGAACTCAAATAACTACAAAACTTCTTGAATAACCTTAAAATTTCACTATAGTCTCTTCTACTAAAATTTCATGTCATTTTGGGCATGGACGGATGGTACTTTTACTCTAGCGGCATTTTAGTTAATGTTGAATCCTAGACTTGGTCCAAGCCCAAACATAATTCAATGATTCTCAAACTTAACATTCTCCTTAAAATTAATAGAATAAGGTATCTCACAAAGTTTCATGACAATTAGAGGTCGTTTGGGTCATGAATCAAAGAGAAGTTACCTTAGGGGCATTATAGTCATTTTATACCGTTACATGGTTTAGCTACTTAACCTTTTCTAATTACTACCACATTTAATATATTATCTTAGCATACCATAATGTGCTTAGCATTAAAATTTCATGGGAAGTGGAGTTCATTTAGTTGGTCATTTTAGCGTTACTTTAGTCCCAAACAAAATTATCGGTTTAGGGTCTTAACTTACCGTTCTTGGTGCTTTTCTTTCATAATCTCTTAATTCACACTTAATTTAAGGTTCATGTTGAAATCCAAGCTATTACTACAAATATTTCTTAAGAAAAGTCTAAGGTGGCTACTTACCTCATCATTGACGTTTAAGACCTCCGTTCTCAAGCTTCCGATATCCAAATTACTTCAAATTTTCTTTGACAGAATTCTTAGAGTACCTAGTTTCTTGAACCATAAAGTTCATGATAATTGGTCTAGAAGAAGGTTAATATTGAGAAAAACTGAGAGAGGGTCGAGTTTTGGGTTCACATGGTTGGTTCAACTGACCTGATAATGTTATTGTCTCCTCCCTCTGGCCAGAAGAGGAATAAAAAATTTGGGAAATTCTTTAAAAATTGGAAAAAAAAAGATGTTGTTGTCCTTTGTTGTAATAGCCCAAAGATAAATAAAGAAATAAAGAAATAAAAAATAATTATAAAAATAGTTAAAAATAATAATAATAATAATAATTAATTAATTATAAAAAAAAAAACAACATTTCCCCACTTCTGTCCACTAACCTCTCATCTCTTCCCACAATTATCTCTCCTTAACCCATCCTTACCACAGAAAGTAATAGTTACTGAGAAAAGAAAAAAAAAACAATAATTGTCAGATTTATTTGAGAAAAAAAAAATGAGAATGACCTTTACCCGATTGAGATTCCAAGAGATTTACGTGAAGATAGATCTGATCGATAAGGTATATATTAAATCTTCATTTTCTTTTATGCTATTTTTTTAGAAATCACAACCAATTATAGTTAGATCTTTGTTGAATTATTACACTGCTCTAGCTTTGAGTTAGAAACTAAATGTCAATCATTAATAACTTCAAATTAGTAATATTAGATTAAATTTTGATCCGTAGTCAAATGAATAGATTAAAAATAGAATGGCCAACAAAATTTCTAAATAGGAAACACTGAGATAAGGAAAGATTTGGAAATACACATCACTAGAAATTTGGAATGCATGAGAAGAGAATTAAAAGGGAACGATAAAAAAAATTAGGGAATTAAAAACCACATACTAAATACAGAGGGAAAGGTAAACACAGAGGGTAAATACAGAGATTAGTAAAGCCCAGAATAACTTGAAATAGTTGTATCTACTTTCTTGTAGAACAGTATGAAAAATAAGATTTTTAATACAAATATAATTATAGATATATAACATTTCAGACTTTTAACAATGGACCAATGTAAATTAGAGAAATAATGTTGTAGAGTTCAAACCGGAAACTAATGTCATGGGCTCATATAGGTTGACTCGGATTTCAAAGGACGGAATCGAAGTTTAATCAAAGATATATTCGTGACAATGACTTAAGCTAGCCAGGTAAGTGACCTTACTATCGGCATGGTTATATTTTGATGTTGACACGTGCCCTGATGTTAACATCTCTTGCTTGATTCTTTGCCTAAGGAACAAGTGACCACAAACAATTGATCTTCTTCTTCTTGATCAGCTAACTGTGCATCTACTTCTTCTACCTGACCTTTGACTTTGCAGATCACAGCTTCATGTCCAAGTTGATTGCATTTGGAGCAGAAGGCGTCAGGTCTTCTCCAACATTTGTATGGTGAATGACCTTTCTTCTCACAATGGCGGCAAGGTGGATAGGATTTTTAGAACCTTCTCCTTTTGTCTTCTGATAATTGGCAGATGAATCTTCATTCGTCGATTGGTTTTTGAAATTTTTCTTGTTTTTATACTGTCTTGATGCTTAATAAGGCACCTTCAATCACCCCTTCTTGCCTCATAGACCTTCTTTGCTCTTGTACTTGTAAGCATTCCAGGGCTCTGTAAGAGAAATCTTTGACAGGTTTTTGGTGTTCTCCAGAGTAGTAATGGTGTCTTCAAACTTCTCTTGAAGAGTCACCGGCAGCTTTTCAACAATCCTGGAATCATTTAACACAGAACCAAGCAATCTCACCTTGTTTGCAATGCTGAGAATCTGTCAGAGTACTCTTTCATCGACTCAGACTCCTTCATCTTCTGCAACTCTAAATCCCTAATCAAATTTAGGATTTTCATTCCACGAATTCTCTCATCTCCTTCATATTCAGCCTTGAGGTAATCCCAGATTTCCTTTGCTGTTTTGAAGATCATTTGAGATATATCTGTAAATAGGCATGCTTTTGCCTTTGATTTTGTCTTCTTTTCCTTGTGTGCTTTGATTTGTGCTATGATTTGCTGGAAGTAGAGGGACCTCGTAATCCTATTCTACGACTTCTCAAAGATCCAAAGCCTCCCGTCTCCATTGCCCACATTTGATAATTGGCAACGGTTGAAAAACTGGATTCTCCCCCATTTTGATCTCACAAATCCCTTAATAAGACGGCTCTGATACCAATTTGTTAGTGAAAGAATGAATTATAGGTTTGATGAGAAGATATATATTGAGAGAATTTAAAAAATATTTAAAAAATCTACCTAAAATCATAAAAATCGGATAACAAAAAGTAAACAAAAACTAAATAATTCTTAAAATTTGATAAAAAAAACATTAACAGAAAAATACTATCCAACCACATAGCATTAGATTTAACATTCTTACTTATTCATTGATCTCATTTAGTAATTAATTTATGAAACTTGTTTCTGGAGTTTTGACTGCCTTCTCGACATGATTATAATTCATTTACATCGTTAACCCTTGTCGGCAGGAGTCCAAGGTAGAACGGCACTTTGAGGACGAACAAAGCTTCATTCAGTGTCAAACCTGGCGGACATGGGGGCGTAAAAAAAAGTAAAATTTGCCAAGTTGTTGCTCGAACTTCAAGGAAGAAAAGCAGTGGACTAAGCTATATTCAATTGTTACAACTGTTCAATAATTCCTTATCAACCCCAGTAATTACATTTGTTTTCATATTATAAACGCATCCTAAGAAGACTATATGAGCAAAAAACTAAATAAAAAATGAGAATTCATGTTACAATCCTCTCCCGCCGCAGAGACAATAGGGAGGACCCGTGCCAACAGTTCATCACAGAAGAAAGGAGCAATAGACTAACCTCGGTCACCTAGCCAAATCAATTATCTACCGAGTTCGCTCGCGTTCTTGGGTTTTTGGGTTCATAGATTTCAAACTTTGGGTTGGCTAAGTGCTTACAACTTAGGGGAGTAAGATTCGGATTACCTCGTTGATCGCATATCTCAAAGGCAAGAACACTTGTTTGAGATTCGAATCACTCCACAAGCAAGATCGATCATGTCTGGCTTGAATGATTCTTGTTGATCAAATATCTCAAGATAAGAGCACTTGTTTAAGATTCGAATCACTCCACAAGCAAGCAAGATCATGTCTAGCTTGAATGATTCTTGCTGATCAAATATCTCACGATAAGAGCACTTGTTTAAGATTCGAATCACTCCACAAGCAAGCAAGATTGATCATGTCGAACTTGAATGATTCTACATGCAACCTAAACGGTATAGAATTGCAAAGAAACTTAGCCATTGACTAAAGAAAAGCACAAATGCTTCTTTTACTGTATTTTTAAGTCTACTTGCAAATATAACATACATAGCTTTATATAGCCTCAAAATGAAACTATTAAAAGCATTCCAAGAGTGATAACATTTATACTCTATGGTCATAATAACATTTATACTCTATGGTCATAATTGACCATTAGGTAAATATAACCCATAGTAAATAAAAAGTCTTAAAATATATTAATGAAATACAATAACTCTAAATTACTCCCTTCATTCTTCATCAATGGAGCATAAATTGAAATATCTTTCGATAATTTCAATAGCATTTTGTTCCCATCTTCATTGAAGTATATTATAGGATTGATGTCTCTAGGTTCATATCATTCTCTACTCCTTCAAGAAGATCCGTTTTCGAATCTATTTGTGAAACTTTGCTGCAAAAAATAAGTTATGGAAATACGAAGGACCTCACAACACTCTCTCACGTGTATACTCTCAAGAAATTTTAAGTCACTCTGTTTGTACTCATTTACACAAATGAAGCTCTCATTCTTACCTCTCCAAAATTTCAATAGAACCAATATTGAATTTTAAATTTTAGGTCGATTAAAAAAACTAAAAAGATAAAAATTAAATAAAAATTAAATTGAGAAAAAAAAAACGCATATATCCGATCTTGAGCCTAAAGCTCTGATATCAAATGATACGTGTAAATCAGTCCAAGTGAAAGTAATCAACTTGGCTTCCGAATACTATATGCATGGGACTGTAGATCTGATCTTGACTCTCTTTCAACCGTTCATTCATTTAGTGAATGTGATCTCCAAGCAGTCAAAAAAAAAAAAACGAAAAAACGTAGCTTCATCACGTTAGCTTGGTCCATTTGTGTAACAGCCCTTGTCTTCTGTAGGCTTTTTCTTTCGAGTTTCCTTTCAAGGTTCTTGAGGTTTCCACACCCTTATAAAGAATGTTTCGTTCTCCTCCCATATCGATGTGGGATCTCACAATATGGCTTCGAGATTTTCATACACGATATTAAATTACAATGCAAGAATAGCAGATTCAAAAGTGACCCTTTTTATGGCTGTGCCAGCAAAGGTGAAGAAGCTAAGCAGAATGGTCTGTTTTCGATATTGACAGGCACTCGACATTATGGAGGATCGGTTTGTCGATACCGAGAGGTGGAAAATGCCAGAGGTAGAAGTAGAAGAGAAGGATGATTTCTGGGGCTTTGAGGAGTTGGAATATGAATGGGACAGCTCCTTCTATATTCAGTCCCCATAATAATTCAATGTAGGGCAGAATTGAAGAGCCTTCAGAGCTTCAAATTTGATTAAACAATGTCCAAACCACACAATAGAGACAGTAAACTGTGTACATATTCAGCGAGATTGAACTGATAATAATGCAAATCTTGTGTAAAAAAACAAAAAATGATCCCCTGCTCTATATTATGAATTTAGAAATGGTTAATTTTGACGAACGACTTGAACTCATTCATAGGTCGATCATTATGAGATCGAACGCCAGTACGAATCTTTTGTTCTTAAATTTTACTTGAAGCTTTTGAACCATCAGAAATAATTGAAAGGGATGGATGAAAACAGCAAAGCTGTCACAGTTAATATGAAATCATCAAAATGAATTGATTAAAATGCATCTCATAGATGGATGACCAAATGTAGCTTATTATGGTGTGAAATGAAGCACCCTCAACTTATGCAAACCACAAGAATGAAAATGGCAGATGAAATCTCCTGAACAGTGAACCAGTAATAACGCATTGACAAAAAGCTATTTGTAATCCCAAGGTGAGAAACGTAGGCAGCACAGGTATAGAGATTCACACTGTTGATGCGATTAAAATAGAAAATGATGTACGTACCTCCTGTTTCTTCAAGGGCGTCATAACTCCCCTGCTTGATCAAACTCAGATAGGTCGAATAGAGTATACTCGTGGTCACCATTGATATAAACAAGCCCTGGATGGTCAAATTTCCCATCTGAACTATTGAAACATTTTTTGGATCGAAGAAAAGCAAGACCCCCTCCTTGAGCCTGCGGTGTGTCACGGTCATGTTCGTCCAAAGCGTGTTGCCCATGGCCGTACGTCCATGACAAGTCAAACCCTTTATGTCTTTCCATGTTCTAGTGTTTTACTTTTGTATTTCTAGGAAGTATGATGTTTCGGAAAAATTATGTCTAGGCCTGGCAGACATGAAATGGCTCAGAATATACTATAGTGGATATGACTAGTTGTCAACTTCTCCCTACCCAAGGTTATATATGTGAGCCATTGTTGTTACTCTCTTGCTTACTTATATAACGTCTCTTTTAAAATCTCTCTTTCGAAAATCTCTCTCTGCCCTCGTTTTCTAAAACCTTCTCTTAAACCGAGGCCAAAGACTCGAGCATACGTCGCTTGGCCGTAGGTGACGTAAGAACGAATTGGCTTAGCTCACTTGTCGTTGAAAAGTGAGTGTCGCACAATTGCAAGTCCGCTGCCATAAAGAGTGCGATTGTGACAAGTGGAATCAGAGCTTTGTTAACTCCGTGACATGGCAAAGACCGAAAACATGTCGACGACAAAGTCGACACCCAAATCACAAGCCGACCGGCTTACTTTAATAGAGGAGGAAATGTTGTTCCTCAAAGAAGTCCCTGACACCATCCGTTCCCTGGAAGAATGGGTGACGAAATTGAATGGAAAAGTCGTAGAAGGAACTAATGTTTTGAGTGACCTCGCTCGAAGAAAGAGTTGCTCTCCCATGAGCAGCACAAGACCTTCTGGTAGCCCCGATAGCTCTGTAGCACACAAGGAGAGACGTGGCGAAGAGTTTGACGTGCTACAAAATACAATGATGAGTTTGTCCAATGAATTAGCTGACGAATTCAGAACAACGATCGATGTCATCCAAGAAAAGATGGTCGACATGAACACCCGAATTGGGGTGACCATGAAAGCCGTAGAGAACGTCACGGCGGGGCAAACTAATACAGGATCCAACAAACTAAAGTTCCCAAACCCCAGAACCTTCAAAGGGAACCAGTATGCCAAAGAGTTGGAGAACTTCATCTTTGATGTCGAACAGTACTTCAAAGCCACAACGGCTTGTACCGATGACATAAAAGTTATAGTAGCCTCAATGTATCTCATAGACGATGCAAAACTTTGGTGACGTACGAAGGTGCAAGACATCGAGAATGGATTGTGCACCATCGACTCATGGGAAGACCTCAATAGAGAGTTGAGGGACCAATTCTTCCCAAAAAACGTAGAACATATAGCAATGGAAAAACTAATAGCCCTAAAACAAACTGAAAGCATAAGGGACTATGTCAGACAGTTCTCGACCCTGATGCTAGATATCAGGGGCACGTTAGAGAAGGACAAAGTATTTTTCTTTATAAACGGGTTACAACTGTGAGCCAAAACAAAATACACGAGAAAAAGGTTCAAGACCTAGGTACCACAATTGCCAGGGCCGAGAGACTCCCAGACTTTGGGAACGAAGCGGGTTTCCAAAGAAGAACAACACAAACCCCAAACACTAGGGGCAAAACATATAAACCACCGGGTCATCGAAATGGAAGCTCCTATAGGCCAAACGGAAGTAACGACAGACAAAGTGGGTGGACAAATAGACCTCCCCAGAATAACCAAGCGAGGACATCTCGAGGACCTTACCCTCAAAAGAAATACCTGACGACACCTTTACAATGCCTGTTGTGTAAAGGCCCCCACAGACTGTCCTACTGTCCTCATCGGGCCTCTCTTAGTGCGCTCCAAGTGTCCATTCAAGAGAGTAACGACACAGGAGTCGAAACTACGCCAGACAGGAAGGAAGATCAAGACAACCCCCAAATGGGTGCGCTCAAATTCTTGTCAGCCCTCCAACGGAAGGTCGACCCAAAGGAGATAATAAAGAAAGGGCTCATGTTCGTAGATGCGACAATAAACTCTCGACCAAGCAAGAGCACCTTGATAGACTTAGGTGCGACCCAAAACTTCATCACCGACCAAGAAGCACGAAGATTAGGACTCGCCATAGAAAAGGACCCCGAAAAAATGAAAGCTGTCAACTCCGAGGCCTTGCCTATTCTATTGTGGGAGTCTCCAAAAGAGTCCCATTTAAATTAGGGGTCTGGATAGGAAAGTTGGACCTTATCGTGGTTCGCATGGACGACTTCAACGTGGTACTTGAGATGGACTTCCTCCTAGAACACAAAGTTATCCCAATGCCACTAGCGAAATGCTTGGTGATCACCGACCACAACCCCACAGTAATACCTGCAAGCATCAAGTAACCAACTAATCTTAGAATGATCTCGGTCATACAATTGAAAAGAGGACTCGCACGAGAGAAACCTACATTTATGGCTATACCCCTGATGGAAGAAATGATCACTGAGGAAACTATTCCAAGCGAAATCAAGAATGTACTAGACAGTTATGCTGACATAATGCTAGAGAGCTTACCACAAACATTACCACCCTGTCGAGGCATTGATCACGAACTCCCTAGGGTTAAACCCCCAGCGAAGAACGCATACCGGATGGCTCCTCCTAAGCTAGCCGAATTGAGGAAACAATTAGATGAGTTGTTGACGACAAGATTCATCCGCCTGGCAAAGGCACCTTACGGAGCCCCCGTAATTTTAAAAAAAGAAAGATGAGACGTTGCGTCTGTGCATAGATTATAGAGCCTTAAACAAGGTGACGGTATGCAACAAATACCCACTGCCGATAATATCCGACTTGTTTGACCAACTTTACAGGGCCAAATACTTCACGAAGTTGGACTTACAATCAGGGTACTACCAAGTACATATCGCTGAAGGGGACGAGCCCAAGACGACGTGTGTAAAAAGATATGGGGTCTTTGAGTTCATGGTAATGCCCTTTGGCTTGACAAACGCCCCAGCTACGTTTTAAACGTTAATGAACTAGGTTTTCCATGAATACTTAGATCAGTTCGTCGTAGTATACCTCGACGACATAGTTGTATACAGAACAACCCTAGAGGAACACAAGATGCACCTGAAGCTAGTGTTTGACAAGCTGCGGCAGAATCAGTTGTACGTCAAGAAAGAAAAATGTGCCTTCGCACAAACATGTATCAACTTCCTTGGACATGTCATTAGTTGT